GACCAGTTTCAGACCACCCGAGAGGACAGGTTGGGGACAGTTTTTTGAAACAGATTTAAGCAAACTGAAGCTTTTGCTCTACGTACGTATCATGGAAAGGGTCATAGATGATGTCAAGTTTGTCATTAAGGGGGCGCGCTCTTTCTCTTTCTTTCTCTCTCTCTCTCTCTTTCTTTCTCTTTGTGGCAGGGCCCTTCAAATTAGAACTTAATACGTATTTAAAAGAAAACGTGTTTTTTTGACAAAAATAATAGAGTCTAGAAATAACTTATTTTTCCGAAAAATAGAGTCTACTTTTTTGTTTAAGAATATTTCTTAACACAGACAGAAGCCGTACAGTTTGTGGAGGGGGCATGCTGGTGACCAAGATGTGAAACATTGACTGGGATCGTCATTGTTGCAACCGCTTTCTTAGTGAGTTTTGCCTGCAGGTCAGCAGAGAATATGGAGCTCGAGGTTCAAGGTGCATATCAGCCTGGTAGACCTGAAAGATAGCTGATGTTCTGCTCCATGGAGCACAGGCATCATAAATGTAATGACACGTAATGACAATTGTTCTTTTAACCCGCTCTGCCCCTCTACTACTTAATTGAGTGAGGGCTAAGTAAGCTACTAGCTACTGGACGCAGGATATCTCACCCTTCAATCATTTGGTTTATAGATGTCCAACTGTCTTTCATGAGTCAACCCACAAAGGGCTGGATGTGGGAGGCCACACAAGTTGGCATCACTATGCTGTTGCCAGCAGAAAACTTATATCATGTTCCATCATTTTCCAGGGGCTCCTAGTAGCGTCCTTGTTCCTAGTAGTAAGGCCAGGAGCCCCTAGTAGCTTCTTGTTACTAGTAGCGATGCCAAGAGCCCCTAGTAGCGTCCTTCCTCCTAGTAGTAAGGCTGGGCAAGGTCATGTTGTGCTTGAGTTTGATATGACTCCACGCGCAAGCCAAGAAGTCTTGTTGCTACAGCACTGCGAGTGTGAGATGTGCTAACAGCGTGCTGCCAAAAGGTACATCATCTCGACTGAAGGGTGCAAATTTATATAGAGACCTTTGAGACTTCATTGGCAATGGATGAGATCCCAAACAATCATTCGAACCATAAACACCATTAGTCATTCAATCGGAGCTTCGTTTATTGTTGCGCTTCAAGATTTCTTGCAGCCTGACCAGGCGTTGTTGCCTCCCTTGCTGTCGTCTCATGCATGAAATCTTGTGGAACATTGTCGAACAACATGCTTGTTTTTGGACAATGTGTTGCTAGTTGTGTCTATGTCTATGGTCTTCTCAACTCTTGCTGTTCCACATGTGTTTGCTGTACTTCCTGCTGTTGAGGATGCGTCCTTGAAAAAGGCATCCTGCAACATCGTCAAATGCCAGTCTTCAACAAATCAGCCCAATGCTCCGTACTTGCTCCATGCCTCTCTTCTGCAGGTTTCTAGGTCAGAATGTGTTTGCTTCTACACCCAGGCTTGCATTCTCACTGTCGCATCTGTTCTCTTCGCACTTTGTAGTGTAAAGCATTGTTTACTTTTGCCTGGTTTTGCCTTTCCATCCCACCAGAGGCTAATTCCACACCATGTTTGGAACAACTATAGTGTGAGATAAACATGCATCAATTTCATCAGCATCCGGCCTCAACAAGCAAACTTAAACTTAAGCTTCAGATACACGGGTCTCGGCAGTCAAGCTCACGTTGCAGCCAGGGTTGCATCAGTAAAAACCTCCAAAAACATAATATGCTGATACAACTTTTTCGCTCCAGCTCAGTCTTTGACAACATAGTAGCAAAGGCAATAGAACCCCGATGGTTGCCACACACCAACCAGCATCCTGCTCAAAGGATTCGAGTTTGAGACTCGTTTGTGCCAAGAGAGATGAGTAAGATGGGTCACCGTCCGAGATTCGCTTCTTTTCAAACCCCGGTGTGCCCCTGGAGGCACCTGCCTCACGAGGATCAGAAGCTTGCGAGCGAAAAGATGTTTCTGCTCTATAGTTCAATCAAAATTATTGTTTGTGTTGTCCTTTTTTCCGCTAAGTTTGAAAGCAAGAAAGCAACACATTACAATAAATGTCAAGTACCAAGTAGGTATATTTTGGATATGATATATGATTTGTATATATATATATATATACATGACATGTGTATGTATATGGTGTGCTTTACGAATCAGATTGCCTGCCCTGTATCGGCTCCAATCTTGTCAAAGAGGTAAGCTGAATTCGTCTCATTGTAGGCCCCGTGATGAATCACATTGAGAGTCAAACACCTTGATTTGTTGAGCATATTTGAGACCAAAGCCTTCGACTGGAAATGTTGACCTCTAAACTCTAAACCAGCTGATTTCAGACCACAAGGGGTGGAGGAGGAACGTGGAAGACGTTCAACGACATTCCTTTGTCAAGCAGCTGATGTGTCTCGCTCCGCTCACAGGTTGGAGAGTTGCATGTGTTTGTGCAACCTCCAAATCCTCGACCTTAGAGCAAAGACATGGATAGAGATACAGTATATAGAGATACTGTATATGAGGAATGAAGAGGCCTTGAAGCCTTTGGCCTTTTTCTTTGTAGTTCTTTGGCTTAGGTAGTTTACGAGATGGTCTCCCACAGCCGCTAGCACCCGATTCTGACTGAGACTGCTTTAATGTGAATGCATTTGCTGTCGGTTCTCTTATAGAAAAATCAATGAAATAAAATTGGTTGGGCTTGATATGTTTATTAAGAGTGGGATGTTATTGTTTGGAGTGGCCAGGTCCATGTCTTGGCTTCGTCGTGGCGTTCATTCATTCCTGGTGCAGACAGCTGTACCCCCGACATTGAAGCTGGAAGAGGTTCGACTTGGCGGGTGGCAGAAACTAGCTGAAATCTCATTGGTGGAGAGTCACAAAAGCTCCATCTCAGCAGTGATGCCTCTGATGTTTGTCCTTGCATATAGGGATTGAAATCTGAGAGAGATGCCTTGGGGCCGTTTGAAGACTGTCCATGCATCGCAACATAAGCAGCTCATCTGTGACATTTCATCTCATAATTTCATGACATCTAAATCTAAACAAGCTTGGAACAGGCTTGGGACATGCCAGCTCCGCCGCCATTTATGATCTTCAGCTGACTCCAATATATTTTCACAAGAAGGTCATCGCGATCAAAGAAGATCAAGTAAGTTTGCTGACACAAGACATCGACAATACACTAGTGAGCCCAGCTGCAACTATCCCTGGAAAGTCATTGCTGTGTTAGATTCACATGCTCACATGTTCACTTGGACTGAAGACATTTACCTTTTATTTCAATCTATCCACAACAACTGTGTGAATAGAAACCTCGAGAGAAGAAGGCCGAAGTATGCACATTGAGATGTGTGTGTGTGTATTTGTGTTTGTGGAGCAGACAGGCTATTTCCCGAAATGGTTGCTCTATACTCTATACATGTGGGAATTCCAGCTTTGCTGATTGATGAGATGGGCGCTTCTCACTAGCTGATGTGCTAAGCGTTAGACTGTTCTTGATGGGCAAGAATTGTGGAATTCAATGTTCCCTTTTGTCCCCATGTCGTTTGTCGCCGACGTTCCCCTTGTTTAGCGGAAAGCGAAATTGTTGGTACAGGAGCGATGGAGCATCTTTCCCAGGAGCTGGGCTCACGCTGGCTTTGGCGGCAACCCTGCAATAAGCTGGTTCTAGAATCTTTCAGGTCAGGTTCTATAGGAGTAAGCTTCCAACTGGTTGTTTCCAGCGAATGTAAAGCATGTAAGTGCTTTGGCCTGTCCCAACTATTGTAAGTCCAATTTTGCCTGTGCATGTGGGAAGGATGCAGTCCGCACCTTCTTCAGCTTGCGGCTGGCGCAGCTGGAAGGCTTCGAGAGTTCGGACCTCACGGAACCAGAGCTCTTGGAGGTTCGAAGAGCGGACAACTGGCAAGTGGGTTGGTTAGCAAGCTTAGGATTGGCATAGAAGCAAAACTGACGTTCGAGGTTCTATTATTCTAAGTGGGCTGTTGCTTGTGGATCCGTACAGGCCAAAGCCGTCAAATATTGTGGCATTGTCAAAGCTTGTGGCTATTTTGAGTTTGAACGGGGCCGTTGAGAAACTCACTCCATAGCAGTTTATAGTTTCTTACAGTAGGGAGATGGCGACCGGTCACGAACATGTCCACTTCTTGATGCTTTGTTTTGACTTTGTCAGTGAGTGACCCATGGGTCATGTCTGAAAGGTGGAGTTGTGATCGGGGGTCGGGCCTTCCTAGAGCCCAATGGGGCATCATGTATGCAAAGGCAGGTCTGCCCCACAATTTTTTTTACCATCCGGTTGATCAGCTTCGGCTGTCACCATGTAAAGAGAAGGTGCGTTGAGATCAACCTTGAAGGAATGGGTTTCTGGTGTTGCCCTTTTGTGAATGACCTGTAAGAAAGACATGTCTTGACAGGGCTTGACAATCACGAAACACATTGGCTTACCTGCTGGTCGCGTTACCCCAGACGTCAGTGCCAAAGGCTTAGAAATCCATCGAACATGCTTCGATACTTTGGTTCTGTTTGATCTGTGTCTGTTTAATCGAAAAAGTCTCGAGTGTTGGGTTTTCCCCCCCCGCAACTGTGGAAGGCTTCAGCGTGGTTGGAGGAGCCTGAAGCGCGGTCCATGTTTGCCTGGATCGAGCAGGGCGAGACGAAGCGCCTCGTACAGGCCACGCTCTCTAGGACTGGCATAACTGTTTGTGAGGTCGAACAAGAACGAGTTGAAGAAATATATTGTAGATACTTGCAGTACCTGGGAAGCAATCTTGGAGCCCACAAGATTTTCTCGTTTTGTGTTCCCTCATCTTGGTTTTTGATGTGCCAAGCATGTTTGCTGCTAGGACTGCTGCATCAGAGAGCCGCATTGAAGATCGCTTACCGGCGCCAATCAGAACAGGACGAAAGGGAAAAAGGTGTCCAGGGGTCCATATTGGATCATATTGGGATGATGCGGAGATGAAAAAAGAAGACAAGGGCCCCTTAATAAGGACCCTTACTGTGTACTCTGTTTTAGTACTTTTTTGCTTTGGAGATATTGTGGAGGCTCATCAGAGAACCGCATCAACTCGTTTGCAGTTGAGTGGGCAAGATGTTGAATGTGTATGGAAGTGAATCACTGCAGGAGCTGTGAAGGAGTTTTGTTACTTCTTCAAGAGGGAAGATGATCAGCCGATCACTTCATCCAACCTCAATGAACAAATCCTGTTTGGATGCTCTCGAGGCGGCCCAATTTGACGGAGTGTTCAAGTTGCTGGGCAATCAGAAAGGGACGTATATAATGTATATAGAGATCTTAATGAATCGAATGCAGTGGTTACCTCGACTGTTTTGTTTGTTTATCAAAGTTGAGACATCCACCTTGAATTTGTTGGTCGCAGGTCCATTGTTGGATTCACTTCTGAGCCAGATGAATAACATCTATGTTCCTGCAATTTTGCAGCACTTAGTACAAAAGGGAACAAAGCACTACGAATTTCAGGGTCTCCTTTCTCACCTAAGGTAGCGCTAGCTGACCACGGCTGGCCTGATAATGTACGAAAGGACGCCTGCCCCTTTGGTCCACCAGTCCACCTTTGGGCCTTTGGCTGGATTGATTCGATTTGAGTCACTTGACTCAGGTGCAAAGTCACCATGTTCTATCTATTTGAGTCACACTAGTTACTAGTAGCGCCCTTGCTAGTAGTAGAAATGGCCTCCAACCAAATAGCCGCAGCCTAATAGCGATGGCCTCCAACCTAGTAGCGTCCTTGCTCGCAGGAGTTCACATCACAAGTCCAGAACTTTATGCTCACCGTGACCGCCATGACTCATCAAGGGAAAGGTAGCACGGTTCTTTATATTCCTCAGGCGAGAGGGGCTCATATAACTTTGGAAGCAGTTCCTGAAGACTTCAGTCGTTGATGAAGTACACCACAATGGCTCGAAGCAGCTTGTGTATTTGTTCGCAGGACAACTTTGCCAACCTTGAAGCTGCCTCAAAGGATAAGGACATTGTACAGCGTTGCTTGACTTTGCGCAGCAGCAAAGCTGTGCAAGACATTGTGCACCTTACTTTGACTGTGAAACGTCCGGGCAATTGTACACCGTGTCCAAGACTGAACACACTGATGGGGATTCCGGGGGGCTCGAGCGCATCCGGTGACCCTTGCACGGCGTTGCAGCGTGCAGCGGTCACTTCAGTGGCCAGTCAAACTTCAAAAGCATGATTCTTTGCTGGGATGGCGCCTTTAAAACGAATTTGTCCAAACAAAATGTTGCAAAAGAAAAGCTTTGTAGTAAGGGATAGTTAGGCCAAGAACAAGATAGCCCACACCCAAGGCGAGCACAGTGACATCATGAGCGCATGATGTTGCAATTTTATTGCACTGGTCACACTGGTACCGTATTGTTGTGGCTGTGGCACCCCACACAAACATCGAGAAGTTTATGTTGCCAGTTATGTGGATGATGGCCGTGGGGGTTCAACATAGTGGGGTGAGTTCACTGTTTTGTAGGCTGATTTCTGTTCATCGGCGTGCCATGCAATGTGTGGGCTGCAAAAGGTCGAACACTTGCATCGTCATTGAGACTACTCTGAGGGCAGCTCGGGTGCTCCCATAAAGACAGGCTTTGCTCGCACAGTTTTGGCATCCAGTCAGACTCTGCCCATTCTTTTCAAACGGGAGACAGTTGCTGCTCGGGTGCTTGGCTCAGAGCCTTGAGCCTCTATGAACCTCTAAGGTTTGAAAGTTGCATTGATCCATTGGCACAGGCAGATCAAGGAGGTGACCACTCAGCAGGACCGCACAAAGATGCGCTCAAACGCACTTTGGCAACTCTGGGAATGTGTTTAGGGGCGGTGGCGTCAGTCGAAAGTGCTTGCGCAACTTCAGAAAACGTAGAAAAGCAGGAAGCTGAAGAAGTTCACGATACCAGGACTCGGCCAATGAAGGTGAGAACAACGGCCCGCTGGATGAAATTGAGTTCTGGAACGCCCGTGACAAGATCCTCAACTTCAAGCGATTCGCTCGGCCAAAGAGTGATGCAAGCTGAATGATGGCGAAGATAAAGTACCTCCAAACGGCCGGGTAGTAGGATGATTCTAAGTATTGCTAGTAGAAACAAGTATAATTTGTATACGATGTATAGTTGAGCAAAAACGAAGACCCTCTTCAAAGCAAGGTGGAAGCTTTGGCTGGATGAAGCACAACTCTGTCTCGGCGAGTTAATGGTAGTCGGTGGTGAATGCATGTCAAACGCCCCATGATTCTGGGTACGGAGATCCAGTCATGCGAATGGTTCTGGACAATGAGTTTTTGTGACGGTCGCATGTCCCCTTTTTTGAGCATGTATAATTTGTATAAACGAAGAGTGGCCGAGGAACTTGTCTCGCCTCCACGAGCAGTTGCAAAGCACAAAGCTGCAAGAGATTCTGACAGTTCTGGAGCATCTCACTTTTTAAGATTCTGTGCAGAGCTGTTCTTGTTGGCAAGCGGTATGTTATATTTTTTTGCTGAACCAAGGGCCATCGAATCATCGAATCAAACACTGATCGTTCAGCAAAGGCACGCAAAGTCTGGCTGGCTGAAGAAATTTCGAGCATTGGAGGAAGACATCAAGAACGGATCTATCGAAGCCAAGGACAGGCACCAAAGACTAATAATGTTACAATTAATCTTAGTTAATAAATAATTATATACGTTTAACATTCGTAGGAATCTGATTCAAGGAATCCACCACGATCGATCCGTGCGCAGCCAGAAGGAACTGAGTTCCAACCTATTGCAAGCTCCTGCGTGTTTTTTGTTGAAGACTTGTACACTGGGAGAATCTGAGAATAGGCTAGCAAATCATCTCCAAAGCTTGAAGAGCTACTCCATCCCCTGATCAAGATTTGTGTTGTTTCGACCACTGCAGCCCACCACATGGCCAACATTGTTATACTGTTATACGAATCGAATCGGTTGCTTGAATGTTCTAGCTCAAAGGCTAGTGCAAAGAAACCCAAACATAAGCTTCATTTCAATTGTGTTCATTTTATCAACATGTTTGATGCAACTGGCTACCGGGTCTTTTGGATCATGAACCTGGAGTGCAGGAAAATTTGCGATTCCTCAACTTTCTCAAAGAACCATGCGAGAAGCTCGCAGAAGCAACGCCACCAGAGATCCCTGCAATTCTTCCAGAGCTATTGAACTATGTGCGAAGCATGGCAGCAAGCAGGGTGGCTCCAATGAACTCTCCAAGCCCACTAGCACTAGCATCGACTCTCTCCTGTGGCCTTTTTGCCCCTTGTGGGTATTCCAGCGCAGCATTTGCAAATTGATCTTTAAAAGGAAAATACGATACACATTTTCACAGGCTGTCATAGTGCCAGACCAGGTATGATTTGGTCCATCTCCACCCATTATCAGAAGGAGGACAGGATTTCAGGCCTCCTCAGAAAGATGAGCAATGAAATCATCAAGCGCTGTGCTTCGGCAGAAATATCTTCTCTAGAATGTTTGGGACTTGAAATGTAATTGTACCAGCTTTTGAGCGCTTGAGTTCTTATGATCGGCAAGGATTTGCTGCACAATGGGAGGTGTAGGAAACTGTGAGGTCAAGCCACTATCGACCTGTCCGACATTTTTGCTGGCAAAGTCGAGACCTCAATGGTGAAGTTGCAGCAGTGTATCGACTGCGGCCGTGAATGGAAGAGGGCTTATCAGAAGACTGTGAGGCGTGGCAATGCTGAAAAGATGTGCGAGAGATCTAGCCCAGTGTGTTTCAGGCCCTAAAGACACCCAAGCCCTACGGGTCTCTTCATTCGAGATACAGATACCTGTTGGTAGAGTTGAACATCCCATTGGAAACCCTTTCTTGTGTTCCATTGTGTTTCAAGTCTTTCAGGATGTTCCAAGTGCCTAAGAGTCGGGAGGCTTTTGTCCAAGAACACTGATCGACCGTGGACATTTCCTGACACTTAACGGCACTCAGGGCTTTCAATTGCTTTCAATGTGGGAAAGAATTCGGTCAACGCTCAGGAAGGCAGCATCTTTCTGCAGATCGATGCTTTCGTCCAGCGCTGCTGTGACCTCCTCGAGGTTTGCCAGGGCCTTCAGCAGTTTGCATGCCGCATCTTGGGTCGCACTGATGTGTTCCATTGTTCAACAGACAAGTCTATGTAAGGTCCAGTGCAAGCTATCAGACTGTATTTTATTGCATCAAGCAGTGCTTGTCTCTCGGTGAAACATATGTAACTTCGCGGAGGCTTCCGCGGCCAAGCCATGCCAGCTTTTGGGGGGCACCAAAGCAGGCGCAGAAGCGGGGATCAAGAGCCGTTCTTACCAAGATCAGACCCATAGTTGATCCTTCAGTACTCATACAGTTGTTTCTGCCTACAAGGCAAGCAGTAGGGACGCCGACGGACACAGCTTGAAAGCTGCACGTGTAGGCGTAGGCTTTTCGCATTTTGCAAGGTGAGATCAGCAACTCCCTGAATGAGATTGAGGAGAGAAACAGAGCCTGGGACCTTCCTGCAAGAGTATGTTTGTCGATTCACAAGGTTAGGATTCAAAAGGAGTTTGGGTGCGGAAACAAGCTGCTTTGGCTTGGTAGGACAATTTCTTGAAGAACCTGCAACGATTGCAACCTCCTTTTGTAGACTATGACATCCTGGACGTACGAGCACCCAAGTGGCCCACGCCTCAGTCTCTCACAAGCCTGAAAAGATGTGTGTTTTCCTATGAACGTATCAAGTGTGATCACCAACAACTGCTGGGATATACTAGTAGCATTTGTATGTATGCATTGGTCTTGGAAAAGTCTAAGCCCTCATCCTCACACTCTTTTTTGGTTTTGGGGAAGGCCTGATCACTTTGGCGCCTTCAAGAACCAGATGAGGGATTTGGAGGCTAGGCACCACTTGTGACAGGGCCTGCAGACGAGCTCAGAATGCCCAGACTCCAAATCTCCCACCGGGTTGCCTTTGTCCAAATCACATAAATCTTGGTCCACTGACAGATAAAGAGGATCCTTTTCAGGGTGTCCTTCTTGTCAGATGCTGTAAACCTAAGTCTCATCAACTCATCACTACGAAGGCGAGCTCAGAAAAATCTCGTTTGACGTTGTTGTTGGCTCAGAAATTGTAGTCAAGAGAAATATGAAATAAGGTGAAGGGTCTGCAGGGCCCCCTTGATTTGTTTGTGATTTATTGAACTATCACTGACCCCAAAAAATATTGTTTTGAATTCAAGTGAATTGAAAGGAGCCCCGTTGTTCGATGCGGTATCACGGATCACCACTGATGGGTGTGTATTGAAATAAGGAGACCCGGGCCTAATGGGTTTGGTCTCCGTATGTTAGTGACACCCACATCATCGCAGACTTTTCAAAGCACCATCAGCAAAGACCACCTGGTGATACAGCGGTGCTATAGCAAATCACAATAGATGCTGCCACACGGCACCCAATTCGTTGGAAATCTTTATAGATCACCATGCATGACCGTGCATCACCATAGATGATTGGAAACTAACCGTGCATCACCATAGATGATTGGAAACTACCGCAAACTACCCACGCATGCCCACTCAACCTCTGGCAAGATTTCGCTTTCAATGTGTTGCAGGACCTGCGATCAGAAACATCAGAATATTGTTATTCCATACAAACAGCCAGACTATACTGCTGCGTGGCCAGTCATCACATGCTGCTCATTCTTTTGCCTATCATTTCACAACTATAACTGGTGATGCAGTGATGCATGTATTCGAAGTGAGCTGTGGTGAGTTGCAAGATCTGACAAGATGTATATATAGTGATGTATGTTTTCCCCACCTGCCAGTTGTTAGAGTTTATCAGAGCTCTTCTCCTCCTTGTGCCTCCTCCTCCTCCTGGCCTCCTCAACCGCAAGCGCCAGATCGCAGTGGGCACTACCGGACCTCAACC